GATAGGTCATCTTGTTTTTATCATCAGAGATTTTCAAACAAGGTAAATAACCTCAGATTTTATTTCATTTATCAGTTGATACAAAGTATAGTAGAATTTTTGTTTCCCTGATCTGCATAAAATATGTGAATTCTGGGCTAGGAAGGTGGCTCAGTTGTAGAGTGCTTGCCTTGCATGCATGAGGCCCTGGGTTCGATTCCTCAGCACCACATAAGCAGAAAAAAAAAAGACCAGAAGTGGCACTGTGGCTCAAGTGGTAGAACACTCGCCTTGAGCTGAAGAGCTGAGGGACAGCACCCAGGCCCAGAGTTCAGGCCCCACGACCGGACCAAAATATATATATATATATATATATGAATTCTAATTCTACATCTGGTTAGAGATTGTCTTCACAGACTAACACAGCTCTGTGGAGATAGTACTTGCACTGTCTAAGCACACAAGGTGAATTTGGAGAGAGCACCATTTTCTCATCTTAGCACCAGTGTTTTCTGTCTCCCACTCTTGGTGGTTTAAAAGGGCCACCCTCAGTGAGGAAGGAATCTATGCCAGTTCTGGGGCTCAGAATGAACCTTTTCTCTAATGAACAAGTTGATGAGGAAGAATGCTCTTGTTTCTGCCCAGGGTAAGGGCAAATTCCCTTCTGCCACATTTTGCAGTCTCATGTAAATTCACACTTCCATAGTAACTACTTTTGTAGTTAAAGTACAGCTAAATTTTGGTAACCCAGAATGTGTTTTTCCCCCCCTGTTTGTTGTTTTGTTTTTAAAGCATTGGATTCGTTTAGAGATTTTCCCAGATGTTCTTGTTCATAGATTAAAAATGATAGTAGATCCTGCTGACAGTAGCTACATGCCTTCCCTGGTTGTAGTGTCAGGTAAGTGAAGAATTCATTTATTCAGTAACAAGTTGTGTCTCCTGTCTTTTAATGACTCCTTTGATTGGTTTGTGCCTCTTTTTTTTGGTGCTAGGTGGGAATTCCCTAAATAACTTAATCGAACTGAAGACAATCAACATCAACCCTACTGACACTACTGTGTCCCTTCTGAATGACTGCACAGAGGTGAGCAGCAGCAGGTAGGGTGGGAGGGAAGTGATTTGGGGGGAATTTGCACGTGACATGAGAGGTCACTTGGCTGAGTCCCGGTTTTTTCCCCTCTTAATTAATCAATTCATTATACTTGTTTTGATGTTTGGTATTATTTTAACATCATGGGGTTTTGTTTGTTTTTTGCTGCTCCTGGGGCTTGAACTCTGGGCCTGGCGCTGTCCCTGAGCTCTTTCGCTCAAGGCTAGCACTCTACCACTTGAGCCACAGCACTGCATCTGGTTTTCTGGTGGTTTATTGGAGATAAGAGTCTCACAGACTTTCCTGCCCGGACTGGCTTTGAACCACGATCCTCAGTTCTCAGCCTCCTGAGTAGCGAGGATTACAGGTGTGAGCTACCGGCACCTGGCTACACCATCATTTTTTATAACTTGTAATTTGATATTTATCCATTGGCTCAAGAAGGAAACAAAACCCCCTTTTGCTTTTAGTTTGTTTTTAAAGTAGACTCTTGTGCTAACTATGCCTCCCACCACCATTTTGCCTTGAACCACTATCTCTGTCCTTCTACCTCCCTAGTAGCTGAGTTTGCAGGTGTGACAACCGTGCCTGGGTTGTTTCTGAAATATTGTCTTGCTGACCAGCTTGTTTTTGAGATAGAATCTTCCTAATTTATTCCCACACTGGCCTGGAATCTCCATCCTCTCATCCCTGACTCCTGAGAGCTGAAATTACAGGCAGGTACCACCACTTCCAGGCTCAGTAACTTCTTTCGAAGGCAAACATGACTTGGATGTGACTGTGTTCACTTTTGATTACTCAAAGCTTTAATAAAGGAGTTCCAAGTTTTCATATGTCCCATTCCTCCAATGCCCTCCTCTCTAGTGAAAAAAAATCTGATGTCTTCTTAAAAGTCTATAGCTCTTTGCTTTCTTCTCTAGTATCACAGGTATATTGAAATTGCAATAAAGCAGTGCAGGAGTTCAGGAATCGACTGTAAGATCCATGGCCTTGTCCTGCTAGGCAGGATCAGAGCAGAGGAGGAAGATCTCGCTGCTGTTCCTTTTCTGGCTTCAGATAATGAGGAGGAGGAAGATGACAAGAGTAGCAGTGGAAGGTAAGAGTCATTTGTCCTACATGTTTACTTCTCCCTCATTCCAAAACCTGCTCTGGGACGTTCATGTTTAGAATATTGTAAATTAAAATGTCTTTAAGCTTACAAGAACGTTTTATAAAGTGTTACTGATTTTTCACAAATAATTTAACTTTTTAAGAAAGTGAAATGTGGGAAATACTATTAAAATAGTAAAATTAAAACATTTAATGTGCAGGGTGCCAGTGGCTCATGCCTGTCATCCTCACTACTCAAGCAGCTGAGATATGAGGATCAAAGTCCAAAGCCAGTCTATGCAGGAAAGTCCTTGAGACTCTTACCTCCAATTAACCACTAGAAAACCAGAAGTGGTGCTATGGCTTAAAGTGGTAGAGCCGTAGCCTTTAACAAAAGAGCTCAGGTACAGTGCCCTGGCCCTGAGTTCAAGCCTCATGACAAAAAAGGTTAATTTTTCTACCTGAAGTATCATTGTTACTGTTTTGGTATACTGTTCCTTATTCTTTAGTTCTTTGTTCTATAGTTCTTTGTTCTTTTATCTTATGCATTTTCCTTTGAAAATGGTATAGTACATTTTATGTACTATATGTACTGTATTTTCTAAGATTTTATCATTTAAATTTTTACTTATAGTTAGTATGGTAAAATATGCATAATTTTCCATTGCAACAATATTTGAGTTCACTGATCACATCCATATTGTACTGCTGTTTCTAAAATATCCACATCCTTAGTCTCCTGTAGGTAATTTTGGGTGTAATATTTTGTGTTATGAAATGTTACTCTTTCTGACTTGGTAGGAGCACAGTGGTGATGACCGTGAGTATATGTTTCTATTCACATGCACCCCTGAAGGACCCACCATGGTACAGTCCCATGTTGAATGTATAGATGAATAGAATAAAATGAAAGAGAGTAAGCTGGTATGATAGGCATATATTGCCATGTCCAGCTCTTTTTTTTTTTTTTT